GTCTCCGGTGTCTCATTCCTCTGACTCCAAATGAGAGCCCTGGAAACGCAGCTGGCCAACGGCTTCTTCAAGACGCTCCGTCTCGATTTAATGGGGATGGATAAAAATTTAAAGAAGGACAGATGTGCCCAAGATGAAGCCCGATCCCCAGAGTGTCCGTTCCCCTCAAACTGCAGCGGCAACAGCCGAAAGACAGCGGCCTGCTGCTATAAATTGTCTGCAAGAGAAAGAGCGGACGGGGATCAGATGGCGCTCCGAAGCACCCGTTCCCCAAACGGGTGCCCTCCAAATTGGAGGGGGGAGGGAATCGCCTTTCCCAGAATTCCATGCGGGGTTGGGGATGCTGGGGTTTGCAAGAGGGGTGTGTGGGGAGCAGCCCATGGAGTCGGTGTTCTTAAGATGTGTGGACTCCAACTTCCAGAATTGCCTGAGAATTTTGGGACCCCACAGAGCTTAAAGTTGCTGAGGTTGAAAAACATGTAATATAGCTAGAGGAGATGTGTGGCACGCTAATCAAAGGAAGGGAGGGAGGAGGGAAGAAAGGAGAGAAGGAGGGAGAGAGAGAAGGGGAAGTTAGGAGGGAGGGAGGGAGGGGAAGAAAGGAGAGAAAGAAGGAGGGAGGGAGAGGGAAGGCAGGGAGGGAAGGAAGGAAGGAAGGAAGGAAGGAAGGAAGGAAGGAAGGAAAAGGGAGAGGAAGGAAGGAAAAGGGAGGGAAGGTAGATAGGTGGGAAGGAAAGAAGGAAGGAAAGAAAAGGGAGAGAGGGAAGATGAAGGAAGGAAGGAAGGAAGGGAAAAAAAGGGAGGAAAGGAAGAAAGGATGGAAGGAAAAGAGAGGGAGAGGTAGGTAGGAAGGAAGGAAAAGGGAGGGAAGGTAGGTGGGAAGGAAGGAAGGAAAAAGGTAGGGAAGGAAGGAAGAAAGTAGGGAAGGAAAAGGGAGGGAGGGAAGATAGATAGGAAGGAAGGAAGGAAAAGGGAGAGAGGAAGGAAGGAAAAGGGAGGGAAGGTAGGTAGGTGGGTAGGAAAGAAGGAAGGAAGGAAGAATGGAAGGAAAAGGGAGGGAGGGAAGATAGGAAGGAAGGAAGGAAGGAAAAAAGGGAGGGAGGGAAGGAAGAAAGGATGGAAGGAAAAGGGAGGGAGGGAAGATAGATAGGAAGGAAGGAAGGAAGGAAGGAAGGAAGGAAGGAAGGAAGGAAGGAAGGAAGGAAGGAAAAGGAAGGGAAGGTAGGTAGGTGGGTAGGAAGGAAGGGAGAGAAGGAAGGAAGGATGGAAGGAAAATGAAGGAAGGAAGGAAGGAAGGAAGGAAGGAAGGAAGGAAGGAAGGAAGGATAAAGTATGGAGAGGAATCCACATGGTGTTGGTGCAGGCTGAACTGAGTTACATTTAGTTAGTTATCTTGTTGATAAAGTCAGCTGGAAAAGAAACATCCCTCTAACAGAATCACATTAGAGATCATCTAGTCCCTGACTTAACGATCATTTATTCAACAATTATGAAAAGTTACTATAGCACTGAATAAGTGGTACAATCAATCCTCGGAATTCGTCCGTCATAGCGTCTCTGCAGTCATGTGATCATATGGCCCAGGGGTTGGGGCCCCCTGTATTATATCACTCCCAATCCCTCTCTTCCTTAGACTAGAGCAGGGGTAGGCAACCTTGGCTCTTTTATGACTCGTGGACTTCAACTCCCAAAATTCCTGAGCCAGCCACGTTGAGAGGAAAGGGAGAGGTTTCCAAGCTGAGTCATGCTGGCCCAGGAATTCTGGGAGTTGAAGTCCACGAGTCATAAAAGGGCCAAGGTTGCCTACCCCTGGACTAGAGGCATCCCTAGTTCTTTCAATCCCTCCAGCCCCCTGATCATCCTTGTTGCTCTTCTCTGCACCCTTTCCAGGGACTCAACATCTTTTTTATATCACGGTGACCAAAACTGGATGCAGGATTCCAAGCATGGCCTCGCCAATGCTGTATAAAGCGGCATTATCACTTCTTTCGATCTTGATACGAGGGCAATTCGGAAATTAACCTTCATTTGGTTATCCGTGACGACACTCGCAGATACAGAACTTTTATTATACACATTAGAAAACTACGACGTTAGATTGCTTTTCCACACAATCGCCATTCAAATTGAAGCGCTTGTCGTAACATCTTACAAGTTTAAAATTGCTTAGTTAGTCATCGCTCGGCGCCAAATCTGGGTTATGGGTGTGTGTGTGTGATCAAAAACATCCCAGGGGATCTGCTTCAAAAGTTCTTGGGTGTGCGTCTAGCGGTGTGCGGACGAGCGTTGTCGTGAACCAATGCCACACCGGAGGTCAGCAGGCTCCGACGCTCATTACGGACGGTTTGTCTGAGCTTTCGTAACGTTTCACAGTAGACATCTGAATGGATGGTCGAAATACACTCCATGAACTTCACAAGGAGTTACTCCTTTGGCATCTTCACATTTGGCGGGATTTTCTATGGTGCCACTTCCAGTGTTGCGTTGGTTTACGATGATGCTCGCCCGCACACCGCTAGATGCACCCAAGAACTTTTGAAGCAGTTCCTTTGGGATGTTTTTGATTTCCCCCCTCCCCATAGCCCAGATTTGGCGCCCAGTGACGATGACTAAGGAATTTGAAACCTTGGAAGACAAAGAGGGAATCAAGCTATTCTCCAAAGCACCTGAGGGCAGGACAAGAAATTCATCAAGGAGAGAAGCAACCTAGAACTAAGGAGAAATTTCCTGACAGTGAGAACAATTCATCAGTGGAACAACTTGCCACCAGAGATTGTGAACGTTCCAACACTGAGGTTTTTAAGAAGAGATTGGACAACCATTTGTCTGAAATGGTCTAGGCCAGGGTTTCCTGCCTGAGCAGGGGGTTGGACTAGAAGACCTCCAAGGTCCCTTCCAGGTCTATTCTGTTATTTCTCCTGAAGGCAGGACAAGAAGCAACAGATGGAAACTAACCAAAGAGAGAAGCAACCTAGAAATAAGGAGGAATTACCTGACAGTTAGAACAATTAACCAGTGGAACTACCTGCCTCCAGAAGCTGTGAATGCTCCAACACTGAAAGTTTTTAAGAAGAGACTGACAGCCATTTGCAGGAGGTTGGACTAGATGACCTCCAAGGTCCCTTCCAACTTTATTATTATTATTATTATTACTGTTATTATTATATGGCATAGGGTCTCCTGCCTGAGCAGGGGGTTGGACTAGTTGACCTCCAAAGTCTCTTCCAACATCATCATCGTCATCGTCATCATTAGTACAGAGTACAGAGAAGAGCAACAAAGATGATTAGGGGACTGGAGGCTAAAACATATAAGGAACGGTTGCTAGAATTGGGTATGTTTAGTTTAACGAAGAGAAGGACAAGGGGGGACACGATAGCAGTATTCCAATATCTCAGGGGCTTCCATAAAGAAGAAGGAATCAAGCTATTTTCCAAAGCACCTGAAGGCAGGACAAGAAGCAACAGGTGGAAACTAATCAAGGAGAGAAGCAACCTAGAACTAAGAAGAAACTTCCTGACAGTTAGAACAATTAACCAGTGGAACAACCTGCCTCCAGAAGCGGTGAATGCTCCAACATTGGAAGCTTTTAAGAAGAGACTGGACAGCCATTTGTCTGAAATAGTGTAGGGTTTCCTGCCTGAGCAGGGGGTTGGACTAGATGACCTCCAAGGTCCCTTCCAACTTTACTACTACTACTACTACTACTACTACTACTACTACTATTATTATTATTATTATTATTATTATTATAAGATAAGAGATAAGATAACCTTTATTGTCATTTTTTTACTGTGGACACAACGGCACAAATCAAAAATGAAATTTAGTTGCCCGCTCTCAGAGTGAAACCCATACATGGCACACACCTAAACATACTATATACAACATATTATTATTATTATTATTATTATTATTATTATTATTATTATTACTATTATTACTATTATTATTATTATTATACGTTATGAGGAGTGCCTCAATTTGAATGGCGATTATGTCGAAAAGTAATGTAACGTTGTAGTTTTCTAATGTGTATAACAAACAGTTCTGTATCTGTGAGTGTCTGTCATGGATAACCAAACGGAGGTTTATTTCCAAATTGCCCTCGTATCATCCCTATGTTGACACAGCCTAGGATGGCGTTGGCTTTTTCTTTTTTTCTTGGCTAACTCTGAGGTTTCCATGGGTCTCTTTGCCAAAAGAGAGGCCTGCCAGCTGGTGCTACATTCAAATGATCAACGAGGCAGGAAAAGAAGCTTTTTCATCCGTACCTGGGAGAGGCCTGTTATCCCCTAAGGGCCTGCAATCCAAGAACTGAGATTTTTCTTAACATCCATCAAGCACCTGGCAGTCCAGGAGAGGGAACAAATCTGTTGCATGCATTTAAAATCTCAAAACAGGGCAAGGAGACGGGATAGTCAGGCAGCCTTTAAGTCCCGACTTCAGGTTTTAAGCGTTGCAAACATTCTTTAAAAATTCAATCATGGTTTCTTCATTGTCGGCTTGTTTTAAAGAAGTCTTGATTTAATGAAAAGAAGGGCCAGGGGTGACATGATAGCAGTGTTGCAATATATCAGGGGCTGCCCCGAAGAAAAGGGGGGGGGGGTCAAGCTGTTCTCCAAAGCGCCCGAAGGCAGGACAAGAAGCAACGGATGGAAACTAATCAGGGAGAGAAGCAACCTAGAACTAAGGAGAAACTTCCTGACAGTGAGAACAATTAACCAGTGGAACGACTTGCCTCCAGACATTGTAATGCTCCAACACTGGAAGTTTTTAAAAAATGGACAGCCATTTGTCTGAAATAGTAGGGTCTCCTCCCTGAGCAGGGGGTGGACTAGAAGACCTCCAAGGTCCCTTCCAACGCTGTTATTCTGTTAAACGTGGCCTGGTTGTATTTGAGGAGGTTTCCAAGCGTTGACCAAGCAAGAGAAGATGCAAAGGTATTTCTCCCAGTGAGTTTCATTTTTTCAACCTCTCCCTCCGGTTTTTCTCCGCAGGGATAATTTATACCGGATCAGCTTGGAATCTGCTACCGCTGGAGAGATGCGTTATCACCGGGTGAGTGCTGAAGCTTTCCCTCCTGCTGCTAAATTGGGGATTAGAAAGAGCCATAACAATTGTAAAGGATATTATTATTGCATTTGGGTCCATTGGTTACGGCTGGCTGGCTGATTAAGCTAATCACCAGGAGACGGTGAGTTCTAATCCTGCCTGAAAGCTGTCTAAGTGACTTTGGGCCACTCATCAAGAGATGGTAAGTTCTAGGTCCACCTTAGGCATCAAAGCCAGCTGGGTGACGTTGGGCCAATCACCAGGAGACAGTGAGTTCTAGAACCACCTTAGGCATGAAAGCCGACTGGGTGGGCCAGTCACAAGGAGACAGTGAGTTCTAGTCCCGCCTTAGGCATGAAAGCCAACTGGGTGACTTTGGGCCAATCACAAAGAGACGGTGAGTTCTAGTCCCACCTTAGACATGAAAGCTGGCTGGGTGACACTGGGCCAATCATAAGGAGACAGTGAGTTCTAGAACCACCTTAGGCATGAAAGCCGACTGGGTGGCTTTGGGCCAATCACAAGGAGACGATGAATTCTAGAACCACCTGACGCATGAAAGCCGACTGAGTGACTTTGGGCCAATCACAAAAAAACAGTGAGTTCTAGAAGTACCTTAGGTATGAAAGCTGACTGGGTGACTTCAAGCCAATCACCAGGAGACGGTGAGTTCTAGTCCCGCCTTAGGCATGAAAGCCAGCTGGGTGACTTTGGATCAGTCCCTCCCTCTTAGCCCAATCCCACCTCATAGGGTCGTTGTGGGGAAAATAGTTGTGGAGAAGGATTATTAGGAATGTTTGCCACCTTCAAGTTGTATTTACAAAAAGAATAAAGGCGGAATATTTTTTTAAAAAAACTTAAAAATAAAATAAAATAGAATAGAACTCTTTATTAGCCAAGTCTGATTAGGACACAAAAGGAATTTATCTCTGGTGCAGAAGCTGTCAGTGTACATACAAGCAACAAGTGATAAATCACGGTTATAATCATAAAAAAACATTCATCATAAATCATAAGATACAACACTCTGTGATGGTCATAGGATACTAAATAAGCAATCAACATAAAGCATACCGGGATACTAAATAAAACAATTAGTATAGATCAGGGGTAGGCAACCTTGGCTTTTTTATGACTCGTGGACTTCAACTCCCAGAATTCCTGAGCCAGCCTGGCTCAGTTTGGAAACCTCTCCCTTTCAACTCAGCATGGCTGGCTCAGGAATTCTGGGAGTTGAAGTCCACGAGTCATAAAAGATCCAAGTTTGAAAGACCCCTGCTCTAAAGGTACAAACCAGTAGTTCCACCAGATGTAGAGTTGGTCTATAGCAGGGGTGGGGAACCTTGGCTCTTTTATGACTCGTGGACTTCAACTCCCAGAATTCCTGCGCCAACATGGCTCAGCATGGAAACCTCTCCCTTTCCCCTCAGCATGGTTGGCTCAGGAATTCTGGGAGTTGAAGTCCATGAGTCATAAAAGAGCCTACCCCTGGTTTAGGAATAGGTGACCATGTTGTGGGAATTAGCTGTTTGGCAGAGGGATGGGCATGAGGGGGGAAAAAACATCCTTGTATCTAGTTCTTTTAGATTTATTTTAAATAAATAAATAAATCTAAAATAAAATAAAATAAAACTCTAAAAAGTAATGTGCAATATGCATGGTAGAGTCTGCATCCAAGATGCTAGATGTATTTTTAAAACTGGTAGTCTGTGAAATTTACTCCCAAGTAATTACACAATTACAATTTTCAATGTGTTTGCTGGTTTCCGTCATTTATTTCTGGTTTTTAGCAAAAATAAAAAATGCCCGTTGGTATCAGAGAGTTCCTTAACAACCATGGTGTTCGTTTAATACTAGCAGAAAAAAGAAACGTTGTAAATTAGGTCCAGTCACAGGGTGGCTGATTAAGGACCTCAACAATTTCTGAGCATCATTCCAAGCTCAGTTGCGATTGTAAGGACTCTTTGCAATTTGTCCTGTCACGCAAATTCCTGCCCCATCCCCTGAACAATCCTGGCAACTTTAAGAGGCCTGGACCATCTCCCAGAATTCACCTGGCGAGAGGGGAATTCTGGGAGTTGAAGTTCACAACACTGACCCGAAAGGAGTTGACACTTTTTTCCTCCCCTGTGGTTTCTAACAGCAGCCACAAACTCAAGAGCCAGCAATTGCAAAAAAAAAAAAATAAAAATAAAATAAAAATAAATAAGATTTGCCTGAGCAACAGGGGGAAAAAAAAAACACCTAAGAATCAGAGTTGGTTTAAATTACCGCAGGGTAAAATATAATTTTTTTCCCCATTGTATTTCTTTCAACAGCAATTTGGGAGTTGCTCTCCGTTTGTAAAATGGATTTTGCAGATTTACAGCCACTCAGATAAAGTGAAGAGCTGGGCTGCGTTACAATTATAGAAAGTCTAACAGGAAAATTCTCGATAAATGCAGGTTGCCTTCGAGATATGACTGTAATTAAACCCGAATCAGGCACAACCTTGATGTGGTGATGATTATTATTATTTTATTATTATTATTACAGACCTCAGCTTAGGACCATTCATTTACAGTAGTGACCATCCAGATTTACAAATTGACAATCCTCTAATCCTACAACGCTGAAAAAAAGTCATTTCTGACCATTTTTCACATTTATGATCATTGCAGCATCCCCTTTTGGTCACGTGATCAGAATTCAGAAGCTTGGCAACTGACATGTACTTATGACGGTTGCAGTGTCCCCGGGTCACGTGATCCCCTTTTCCGACCTTCTGACACGCAAAGTCAACGGGGGAAAGGTGGATTCACCTCACGACTGTTTTACTAACTTAACTGCAATGATTCACTTAACCAGTGGGGCAAGAAAGGTCGTAAAATGAGGCAAAACTCATTTAATAAATATCTCCCTTAGCAACATAAATTTTGGATTCAGTTGTAAGTTGAGGACCACCTGTAATATTAAAGATGTGGTTGTAGGATTTAAGGCAGGGGTAGGCCACCTTGGCCCTTTTATGACTCGTGGACTTCAACTCCCAGAATTCCTGAGCCAGCCATGCTGAGGGGAAAGGGAGAGGTTTCCAAGCTGAGCCAGCCTGGCCCAGGAATTCTGGGAGTTGAAGTCCACAAGTCATAAAAGAGCCAAGGTTTCCTACCCCTGATCTAGGGGAATCCAATGGCCATATAAGGAGGTCATCACGTTGGTCTAGGTCAGGGGTAGGCAACCTTGGCTGTTTTATGACTCGTGGACTTCAACTCCCAGAATTCCTGAGCCAGCCATGCTGAGGGGAAAGGGAGAGGTTTCCAAGCTGAGCCAGGCTGGCTCAGGAATTCTGGGAGTTGAAGTCCACGAGTCATAAAGGAGCCAAGGTTGCCTACCCCTGGTGTAAGCTATTCCAAGTAAAACTTCCTTTTGCAACTGACTGTTGGGGATTTTCTCAGTGCCAACGCTGTTCAAGTGGTGCTCCAGATGCTATAAATTATTATTATGATTATGATTATTATGAACCAATTTCAGCCTAGCTCCACTTAAAGAAATTCTCTTTTCCTCTATATTGCCTAAAACTCCTGTCCAGTTTGCACGAAAGGAATAACTGCCTTTTTATTGCTATTTTTCTAGATTGTTTCGGCTGTTTTAATGCTCCTGGCACTTACCGCCAGTAATTTAATTTTCCAGACATTTCCTCGTGTTGAAACATTCATGTGCACCTGTTTCAAAAATAAATTATCCATTCCTTCCTTTTTCTTATTGATTGGAGAAAGAGCTACCTCAGTGGCTCCTCTGGAGAAGGGATCAGAGAGAGGCGCTCAGAAAATCCCATAAAAGGAAAAAGCATTTTTGCATTCTCTCTCAGAAGGAATATGTAGTACACTACATATTATATTATATTGTATCGTATCGCATTGTATCTATCGTATTGTAGCATAGCATAGCATAGCATAGCACAGGGGTCTTCAAACTTGGCCCTTTTATGACTTGTGGACTTCAACTCCCAGAATTCCTCAGCTAACGTGCCCGGCTGAGGAATTCTGGATTGAAGTCCACGTCATAAAAGGGCCAAGACCCTTGGTCGAGTATAGTATATTATATTATAGTATATTATATACTGTATATTTTATACATGTGTGTATGTGTGTGTATGTACAGGTAGTCCTCAACTTACGACCACAGTTGAGTCCAAAATTTCCATTGCTATTGTTAAGCGAGTTTTGCCTCATTTTACGACCTTTCTCGCCACAGTTGTTAAGGGAATCACTGCATTTGTTAAGTTAGTAGCACGGTTGTTAAGTGGATCTGGCTTCCCCCCGTTGACTTTGCCTGTGAGAAGGTCGCCAAAAGGGGATCACGTGACTCCCCCTCGGCACTCCATAACCGTCATAAAAAGGAGTCAGTTTCCAGAAGTCTGAATTTTGATCACACGGTCATGGGGACGCTGTAACGGTCGTAAGGATGAAAAATGGTCAAAAGTCACTCTTTTCAGTTCTGTTGTCATTTTGAACAGCCACTAAATGAACGGTTGTACGTCCAGGACTATTATACTCATACAGACACGTGCACCGACTCTAGATATAGAGCCACACATCTTTGGGTGTGTGTTAAAAATAAATATTCTTGAGGAAAACAGCACCCGTACGCAGAAAGCATGTCTTCGGCACAGGTTTCCAAACTGAAATGCTAAAACATACAACGAACGGTTGCTGGAATTGGGTATGTCTAGTTTAATGAAAAGAAGGACGAGGGGGGACATGATAGCCGTGTTCCTGTATCTCGGGGGCTGCCCCAAAGAAGAGGGAGTCAAGCTATTTTCCAAGGCGCCGGAAGGCAGGACAAGAAGCAACGGGTGGAAACTAATCAAGGAGAGAAGCAACCTAGAACTAAGGAGAAACTTCCTGACAGTGAGAACAATTAACCAGTGGAACAACCTGCCTCCAGAAGTGGTGAATGCTCCAACACTGGAAGTTTTAAAGAGACTGGACAACCTTTTGTCTGAAATGGTGTAGGGTTTCCTGCATGAGCAGGGGGTTGGACTACATGACCTCCAAGGTCCCTTCCAACTTTACTATTATTATTATTACCTAGTTCTTCTACATAAGCCTAAGACTGAAAATCAGGCTTGTCAGATGCTATATTTTTCCTATCCTGCTCTATGGAGTAGAGACTTGGTCTCTGACAGAAGGCCACCTGAAGAAACTAGAAGCATTCGAAATGTGGATTTACAAGCTGTTATGTATAAGCTGAATTGACAAGATCAGAAATGAGGAGGTGATAAGCTGCCTGGGAAAGCCAAGGGAAATGAATCAAAACAATTAAAAAATGAAAATTAGAATATTTCGGACGTGTGATGCGACACCCAGAAAAATACGGCATACTCCATTTCATCCTCCAGGGAAAGATGGAAGGCAAACGAGGTCCAGGCAGAAGAAGAACATCGTGGCTTCAAAATCTAATGGATTGGTTTGGACAAAACTCAGCAACACTTTTTCGTGCGGCTGCTGATAAAAACAGGATCGCCAGCATGATCGCCAACGTCCGATAACAGATATGTCACAAGAAGAAGAAGTTAATCTAATACAGATAGGGAAATTTGTAGAGAGGGGTTGCTCGGACATTACCCCTGAATTGTATCTGAAGAGGGATGAGAGGGAAGAAAGGAGAGGAGAGAGAAAAGAGTAAAGGAGGGGAGAAGGAAGTAGGAAGGTTGGAGGAGAAGTGGGGAGAAAGGGGAGGAGAGTGGTGAAGGAAAGAGAAGAGGAGAGGAAGAAGAAGTAGGGAAGAGAAGAAAGGGAGAAAGAAGGTAGAGAAGGAGGAGTGTGGATACAGTGAAAGGGGAAATGGGCGAGCAACACCAAAAGTCATGTGTATGTATTTATTTTATTTTATTAAAAGTATAGTAATAGTAAAGTTGGAAGGGACCTTGGAGGTCATCTAGTCCAACCCATTGCTCAGGCAGGAAACCCTACACCATTTTGGACAAGTGGCTATCCAGTCTCTTCTTAAAAACTTCCAGTGTTGGAGCATTCACTGCTTCTGGAGGCAGGTTGTTCCACTGATTAATTGTTCTCACTGTCAGGAAGTTTCTCCATAGTTCTAGGTTGCTTCTCTCCTTGATTATCTTATATATGAATGTTAAAAGAATATATGTTAACATCTGATAAATGTCACGGTATATGTACGGGGGAGAGTTTGGAAAAATAAAAAATTATTTAAAAAAAAAGAAGTAGAAGCTTTTCTACCTGCCATTTCTTATCATCTCTTATTTCAAACAACCTTAAAAAACACTCTACTACGGTGTTGTTACGTCTAACTGATTCCCATACATATTCTTCCTCTCCCCCGCCCCCCAGTATCATGTAATTCTAACTCTAAAAGTAACACACAAGTTAAGGGGAAATTTGCTGCATCTTCATATATGGTCAAAGCAAGAACATCCGATGTTAGCAGCGTTGACAATAGGTTTGTAAAACTGTTAACCCCAATTGCAATTACGAGCGAGCAACGCAAGTGGTGGCCGAACCAGGCAGGAAGGTTGCAAATTACAGAAATTGAGAAAAACTCAAAAAACAAAATAAAAATAAAAAGATGCCCTAATTCCCTGGGGTGTGATGGAATTGTTCTTTTTTTTGCCGCACAGAAATGAACCGGAGGGGTTTTAAATTCACACTTTAAACTTGCAGATTCCTCTGGGCTGATGTGATGATGCAAACAGATGAGTAATCATTAGGAGATTTTTTTAAAAAAATTAAAGACATCTCAGCCAGCTACAATTGGGGTTTGCAGTGTCAGTGGGTTTTGTTGGGGGGGGGGGAAGAAGGCAGGGGGTATGTCAGGGGGTATCCATGATGCCTTGTTTTAATTTGATGTGCTTTTTTTTTTTTGTTCTCTTCTCGACCCACAGAAAATGACGTGGCGATCGAATAAAAACGACATCAACATTTGTCACATGAAAGGAAAACACGAAGTAAGTACAGTAATTTCCATTCAGATTTACATTTCCTCTTGAGGACCAGGATGCAACTCCCCAAAAAAGCTACAGGGAAATCTAGCTGGGATTGAACTAACCACGATTAGCTTGTGGAGATTAGCAGCGCCGGGTGTTTGACAAACCTGGTTAGGCTAACGCAGCGTTTTTGAACCGCAGAAGTCAGTCAGGAAAGGAGTAAAACCCTGAAACTGCAGCTGAGGGATGCCCTTTTCCTTGGTTAGGTGTCCAAGTGGTCCTCAACTTACGACGGATCACTTAGCGTCCATTCAAAGTCATGATGGACACCCTAAAATACTTAACAACTAGGATTTTAGTATTGTGACGGCTGCTTCTTACAAGAGTCACATGATCAAATTTTGGATGATGGGCAACAGGCCCACATTTACCGCCATTTGCGTAGCCACCAAACCATAATTTGTGCTTTTTGCCAGAAACTGGTGTTTACTTAAACTGGTGTTTAAGAACAATGGTTTTGCTTAACAAGGGCGGCATTGTTTTACCACCGTGCTGTTCACTTTTGCAACTGCAGTGTTCTCTTTTTACGACCACCGCAAAACGTTATAAAAATCAGCTGGGCCACGTAGGATGTCTCAAATAACGACCGTCATGACACCCAATGGAAATTCCGAGTTCCATTACGGTCGTAAGTCCAGGACTACTTTGTATTTGTTGTTTTAGTTTTTTTTAATTTAGTTCTGCAGACTCCTGCAACTCAGATCTTGTTTTCAAGAAAGCTGGCCTGTGCAGCTGGAATCAATGATTCATTTCTGGCAAATTTACTAACCATTGTCATTTTTGGAAAGCGGGGCTCCCACACGGCTTCAGCAAAGCTAATAAACAGGAAAGTTCCTTTGCCTCTTCTGGAAGTACAAAAAAAAAAAACCCCAAAACATAAAAAAATAAATAAAAACAGTTGGAGCAGCATAATATGTGCAAAATGTTTCAGGGAAGGAAATTGAGTGTGTTTCACACCAGCCAGAGAGAATGTGCTAAGCAGTTAAAGTGGCCTACTCAGTTTGCCTTGGAGAAATCTCCAGGAAATCCAAAAGGAAATTGCAAAACCTGTTCTGGCTGCCCTTCCAAAATTTTACATTTCGGACAGTCTCCAAAACCTGCAATTATTCTTCCAGGCTCCCTGTTCTTGTTGCAGGCTGAATGTCTGAAAGGAAGCGGAAAACGCATCTAAAAATGCCTGCACATATTGGCTTTTTTCCTTTCAATGGGTGCACAAATGTGGTTTAATGAAGAGAAGGACCAGGGGGGACATGATAGTAGTCTTCCAGTATCTCAGGGGCTGCCCCAAAGAAGAGGGAGTCAAGCTATCCTCCAAAGTGCCTGAAGGCACGACAAGAAGAAGCAACGGATGGAAACTGATCAAGGAGAGAAGCAACCTAGAAATAAGGAGAAACTTCCTGACAGTGAGAACAATTAACCAGTGGAACAACCTGCCACCAGAAGTTGTGAATGCTCCAACACTGGTGGTTTTTAAGAAGAGATTGGACACCCATTTGTCTGAAATGGTATAGGGTTTCCTGCCTGAGCAGGGGGTTGGACTAGAAGATCTCCAAGATCCCTTCCAACTGTTATTCCCTTTCCTTTCCTTTCCTCTTTCCCTTTCCTCCAATATTTGAGGGGTTGCCACAAAGAAGAGGGGGGTCCACTTAACAACCTGTGGCAAGGAAGGCCGTAAAATGGGGCAAAACTCAGTGAACAAATGTCTTAGTTGCATGAGTCTGGAATCCGGATAACCCAATAAAAAAATTTAAAATAACAAATACAAAATAGTCCTCGACTTACGACCGTAATGGAACTTGGAATTTCCATTGGGCGGGTGTCATGACGGTCGGTATTTGAGACATTGTGGTCGTAAGTCGAGGACTCCCTGCATAGCATTGATAAGGAATTAACCGTAAGAGAAAAGTAAATTGAATTCCTGTAACAGCAGAGGGAGAGTTTGAACTGCTGAGCCGAGTAATAAAATCTCAGATATTATACCAATAAATAAATACATAAATGAATGAATGAATGAATGAACGAACGAACAAAAGTTTGAACTGCTGAGCTGAGTAATAAAATCTCAGATATTATAAGATACCAATAAATGAACAAAAGTTTGAACTGCTGAGCTGAGTAATAAAATCTCAGATATTATAAGATACCAATAAATAAATGAATGAATGAACGAACAAACAAAAGTTTGAACTGCTGAGACGAGTAATAAAATCTCAGATATTATCAGATACCAATAAATAAATAAATAAATCATTCATTTATTTATTTATTACAATCATTTATTACAATCATTTTGTTTAGTGACCATTCAGAGTTAACAACGGCACCGAAAAGAGTGGTTTAGGATCGTTTTTCACACTTAACGACCGTTGTGGTCTCCCCCAGGGTCACGTGAGCAAAATTCAAGCCACTCGGCAACTGACTCATATTTACGACGGATCATGTGATCCCCTTTGGCAACCTTCTTACTGGCCAAGTCAACGGGGGAAGCCCGATTCACTTAACAACTGGGTGACCAACTTTAACAGCTGCACTGATTCCCTCAACAACCGCGGCAGGAAAGGTCGTAAAACGAGGCGAAGCTCACTTAACAGCTGTCTCGCTTAGCGACAGACCTGTCGAGGGTCCCTCGTGGTCGTAAATCAAGGACGCCCTGTATTTAACTTCTAACATCCTCTCGGTTGCACTCCAGTAGAGAAAGAATATTTATAAACGTTTTAAACGGTGGTGCATTTCTGATTTCAGTCCTTTGATGAGTTCTTTTTCCCCTCAGAAACCATATGCCAAATTATTTAAAGGCCTTCTTGGGTAAAATGTGTAGAAAATGTGGAAGCCGTCCTCATTTTAATGTGGTTAAACTTCTGTTGTGAAAATATTTTTCACCTTCGAAGCGCCAACTGCCTTCGTGATCCAAGAGAAACTATATTAATTGTTTTTTCTGGCAGTCTGCAAGGAACCAGCTCCATCACTTAATAAAGTCCTCTCTCGTCTCTCTTCCCCCCCCCCCCCTTTCCACATTATTACCACCATTTTGTAGAGATGATTAAAAAAGAGGAAGCCAAAACACCGGAGAACGGGGATGGCCGATGGCCAATATAACTCGTGGTGTATTTTTTTTTTTTTTTCAATTCAAGACAGCCAAAGTGTGGCTTTTCTCCAAGAAAATGAAATCCCTTAAAGCAGAAAAAAATGCAAAAGTAGGCTGGGGAAGGAATTTCGTGCAGTGTTTTTCACAATTGGCCGCTTTGTGAGGGGTGGACTTCAACTCCCAGGATCCTCAGCCAGCTTGCTGGAATTGAAGTGAATCCATCTTTAAAGCATGGCGGCCTGGGGTATTCTGGGAGTTGGAGTCCACGTATCTTACTTAAAGCATGCTGGCTGGTGAATTTTGGGGATGGAAATCCATACATCTTAAAAAAGCATGCTGGCTGGGGAATTCTGGGAATGGAAGTCCATCCATCTTAAAGCAGGAGTGTTTTTTTTTGAAAATTTTATTGATTTTCCAATATTACATTTATATCTTTGAAAAGCAACACGGCGACTGAGTTACCATAATTCAATTACATACAAATATCATTAGTACAAATCCCAAACTATTACAGTAAATATTTCCTCTCTTTTCCTCTTTATGTGTATTGTCTCATATTTGAATTAATACACTTCTTATTTCTATCAATCAAATAAAAAATAACTTTCTTACATTTATCAATAGTTTCTAGTTTACCGTATATTCCGGCGTATAAGACGACTTTTGAGAGCGTCGAAACAGCCTCCGAACTCGGGGGTCGTCTTATACGCCGAGTCGTTTTATACGCCGGAAATAAGGTAGTTTCTGGCGTATAAGACGACTTTCTAGGCATGCGACTCGGCGTCAATCGTCTTATACACCAGAAATAACGTAGTTTCCGGCGTATAAGACGACTTTCTAGGCATGCGACTTGCCGTCGATTGTCTTGCGACTCGGCGTAGATCGTCTTGCGATCCGGCGTCGAACTAGGGGGTCGTCTTATACGCCGGGTTGTCCTATATGCCGGAATATACGGTATATATATCTTAATCATTTTAGCGTTCAATCTTTGAGACAATCAATGTCCTAGTGAATTTTTCCCAATTTTAATTTTCCATTAATATTTAAAATTAATGTTTAATATTTATCATTTCCAAGTTTTAAATGTTCCCAATTCCTTTCATCACAATTTTCCTCACAAAATCCGGTATTCAGGATACACGTCTTATCTATTTAAGTTCTCACAATCTATATCAACAAATTTATAATACAATAAAATATTCTTATTTTCTAATAGTTTCCAAATATTTTAAACCTAGTAACCAAAATTACTTTTATTTCAATGCTTAATATTTCCTCTCTCTTCTTCTTTGTATCCACTATCTCATATTTAAAGCTAATAATTTTCATTCTTACCGCTGCGTCAAGACATATTTATTACACTTATCAATACGTTTTAGCTTATATATATATATATTAATCACCTTTACATGACCTTTATGAGAAAATCAATATTCAAATTTAATCCATCTTAAAGCAGGTTAATTGGGGAATTCTGGGAGTCGAAGTCCACCCATCTTAAAGGATACTGGCTGGAGAATTCTGGGAGTTGAAGTCCACCCATCTTAAAGCATGCTGGCTAGGGAATTCTGGGCATTGATTTCCACCCTTCTGAAAAAGATACTGGCTGGAGAATTTTGAGAGTTAAAGTCCATTCATCTTAAAGCATATTCTCTGGGGAATTCTGGGTGTCAAAGTCCACCCATCTTAAAGGATGCTGGCTGAGGAATTCTGGGAGTTGAAGTCCACCTATCTTAAAGCATAGGTCTGGGGAATTCTGGGAGTTGAAGTCCACCCATTTTAAAATTGCCAAGTGTGAAAAATACAGTTTTAAAGCTTCCCCTAAAACAGTTTTCCGCAACTACCGTCCCATAATCACGCGCACCCACCCCCCCCA